AGAAAATTAATTGTATTAGAAATTTAAAAAAGTATTTAATTTTGAGAAAATAAAGCATAAATTTTTTTAGTTATTTATTTATTACAATTTAAGTAAAATAAGTATAACAATGGAATAAGTTGAGCTATACCCAAAACTATATTTCGAAATCTCTTAAACTTTGCCCTTGCTAAGTTTGGGTGATTCATTTAATTCAGTTGCTATCGTTGCCTTCTTTTTGGTGAGTCTCTCCCTTATTTCTTATTTCTTATTGCGGGAGTTCAATGCCAGAAGTTTCAAGCTCAAGTGTTGTTAGTCTTTGCCATTGCCAGGTCTTTTTCACTTTTTTTCGCTGTTGAGTGCATAATCTCCCTCTTTGAGTAGTTGTGCTCACATAATACCATATGCTCATATCCATATCCGTATCTAACGAGCGCACGATGCGCCACTACAGCCACTATAATATGCCAAATTAAAACTTTAACTAGCGCGCCGAGTGTCCTACACCGAGCAAGTGCCACGCGGCGCAGAGCAGCGCAGGAGCAGCAGCCAAAGCCGGCGACAGACTGTCATCATTATCATTAACAGACGCCACGGTTCGCACCTTCTGGTCGGGCAGTCGCATCCGCTGACGCTGACGCTGAAGCTGACGCTGCTGTTGTGGCGCTTATTATTGTCGCTGAAGTGGCCCGCCATGAGCAGTCGCTGCTCCACTCATTCCGTGTCATCCCAGCCACCTCGCGCCTTCCTGCTTACTAAAACTGACAACGCCCGAGCGCTCGACAGAGGCGCAGCTTCCGTTGCAGTTTGTTTTTCCGATACCCATTGAAAATGACCAAGAGGGGTATAACGTTTTTACAATGAATTTGTTGGTTAATATAATAAATGCATATTTTGAATTATTTCAATCCAGATATGCAAGGGTCTCTATAGTCCTCTACATTGAGAAACTGAAAAATTAAGCTCTATCAATCGCCGTTTATGGTCTATATAATCCATAAAAATATGTATGTTTTTTATCGGCCTTATTGCTTCTACATTCAGAAACGAGAAAATAATCTTGGCTCTTTTCATCTGTCTTTATTTGCGATTCTAAATCTATATTCACCTGTCTGAGTAAATCTATCTCGAAAAATTTAAATGTCTTACATTTCTAAGTCAGAATACTGTAAGCCGAAGGAGCTTATCAGCTCTTGTAGATACCTGCCTAAATTTTCCTTATATACGTCAAAGCTTAGTGGCAGTATATCTTGGTATTTTAGTTTCATTGAGCTATAGACAAATGAAATAAATTTCAGTTATTTCAACAAATTAATGAAGGCTCCATTTTTTAACATTACTTCTGTCCATATGGTATCTATTAGTCGTGCAGTCCTAACTAATGCAACCTCGTTTAGTCTGAACGTAGACGGCTTAGTTTTAAGTATCTTCATGTGTGTGTGTTTATTGGTGTGTTTTTATGAGCTGTTGGCATAAAAAAAAAAAAAAAAAAAAAAAAAAACAAAAAACAAAATGCACGCGTTAATCTTTCTAACAAACCAAGGCTCTATGTCTCTATGACTGAGTATGTGTGTATGTGTTTATGAGTGCAGGTGTGTGTGTCTCTGTGTGTGCTCGTGGCAAGGTTTATGTTGCAAATAACTTTGCTTGCACTTTGGCCTAACATAATTTATGCACTACTACGTTGCAGGCTGGCTCGCTGGCTGACTGGCTGGCAGGCATCCGTACTTAAGCAGTGGGCGTGGCAAGCCAACACACACACACACACACACTCAACACTCGAAACACTCACATTTATAATTACATGCTTAGGATATGGCTGGCATTATAGCCCAAGCACTTTTCAACATAATGGAACTACCGAGCACATAATTAAATGCAACGTTCCAAATGAAGCGAATCGCAAGGTAAAATTAACAACCAGAAATTATGAAAAATGTTACAAAATAGTTAAATATCAATTTAACTTGAGGGTACTAACTAAAAGCTTTTAATTTTGATATACAAAATTATAGCACATGGTTTATGAATATGTTAAAACAACATTTTGCTATTTATTTTAAGTCAGGTTAATAGAATATAAAAAATCTTGCATATTACAATGTCAAATTACGATGTCAAAATATATATTGAACTTCGATCAGAAATGGAATGAATAAATGAGTCATGAGAGAAAAGGTGATGCTATACTAAAACTAATATATGAAATAATTTTAATTATTTTTTTAAAATTAATATACAAAAATGAAAAGTAAGAAAATATCAAGATACATAATTAAATCTAGACTTTTAGAGTTACTTAAAT